GTCTGGTATTTTGAATCCATTTTTCAAGGAAAGCAGGATGGACATATTCTTATTCCAATAACAACAATGTGCACTTGGGGTTTTGGGTTGTAAATCAAGCAGTGTTGTGGGTGGGATTTACTATAATAGTTTTAAAACACATATTGGAAGGCTTTTCATTTCTATTGTTATTTTTAAAACCTGTGTTCAGCCATATAAGAAGCGATGTTAGTTAGATGGGAATTATAGTTCCAGCACAACTAGAAGCACATTAACCTTGGGCTAACCCAAGAAATTGACTGATTCATGTAATACTCTAAGCTTTCCCCACAAAGAAGTATGATGCTTTATATGGTACAGTACAAGGGTTACTTTCCACAATACACTGAATTCTATCTGTCCAACCCTATTGAAACTGGTAAAACATGTTGTGCAAACTCACAGAAAGCACCACGTTAGGAGAAACAGGTGTAGAGCAAGGTCTCTCAACCCTGGCAACTTTAAAATGGGTGGACTTCAATTCCCAGAATTCCCCCGCCAGCACGCTGGAGGGGGAATTCTGCGAGATGAAGTCCACACGTTAAAGCATGCAGGAGGGGGAATTCTGGGAGTTGGAGTCCATATATATTTAAGCATGCCGGATGGGGAATTCTGGGAGATGAAGTCCACACATGTTAAAGCATGCAGGAGGGGGAATTCTGGGAGTTGGAGTCCATATATATTTAAGCATGCCGGATGGGGAATTCTGGGAGATGAAGTCCACACATGTTAAAGCATGCAGGAGGGGGAATTCTGGGAGTTGGAGTCCATATATATTTAAGCATGCCGGATGGGGAATTCTGGGAGATGAAGTCCACACATGTTAAAGCATGCAGGAGGGGGAATTCTGGGAGTTGGAGTCCATATATATTTAAGCATGCCGGATGGGGAATTCTGGGAGATGAAGTCCACACATGTTAAAGCATGCTGGAGGGGGAATTCTGGGAGCTGAAGTCTGTATAGCATGAGGTTGCCAAGGTTGGGAAACCCTGGTGTCGACTGTGCCATCCTTGTAAAACATTTCTAGCCTCCTGCTCCATGACAAGTGGGTTGATCTTGAAACGGCTATACAGCAGACTCTCCAAACGGGAGCCTCCGCATCGTTTGACCGGTATTCCTTGCCAGCCAGAACCACTGGTCAGAAACGGGGCAAGGGACCACATCTGGCAGGCTCATCTGTCTCTCTCCCCACCTTCCCAAATGCACCCATCTGCCCTAATGCAACGGGGAGTTTCCCACCATGCCCCAGAGCCGTGTGACCGGAGCAGAGCCCGGTGGGCATTGGCAAAGACAGGACCTGGTTCCTGCTCCTGGCCAGAGCGGCGACACCGAGGACCACTTGGAGAGAGGTGTCTACTTTCAATTCCGCTCGTCTCGCGTTCGTCCCCTTTGCGGGACCAGCGTCTGCAACGGCCTGACGGTGCCACCTCGGAGTTTTGCCACCAACCTGTGTGCGTGGCACGGTTTTGTTCTTTTACGGCACTCCCATTTCACAATGGCCATTTTCTCTCCCCCCCCCTTTTTCTGGGGGGCAGGACTGCCCTCTCCTCGGGCCTTACAACCCAGGCTGCGCCCATAAAGCTGCATTTCTCACAGGATCCCCCTACTTAGCACGTAGGTGAGAAGGTCCCCCCTCCTCGCCACTTTATTATGTAATGAGGTTATTGGGGGGTTTCGCTGCCCCATTTCCTTGCTCCCTTACAGCAGGAAGCTCGGGCACCAGCTAGTCCTGAAGAACGAAGCCGAGAAATATGCTTTATAAACAGAGATCAATTGCATGCGTTTATGGCCATACAAACATCCCCTCGTAAAACAATTTGGCGAGTGAAAAACATCCCCCGGCCCCCAGGACAGAGGCGGTCCCCCCAACCACCAATTTTCTTGCAATCAAAAGCAAGCAAGAAAAACAAAGTGATATTTCTCTCCCTTCCCAGGGAAAACATTTTATCTTTTCCAGTAAGGGCTGCAGTTTGTTTTTTTAACGCCAGCTTGCTAGTTTTCCCAACTTAATTCGGTGCATATATTTTTTCACACGGATTTTATCCTCTTCTCCAGTTTTCACAGTATCAACCTGGGGTTGAAACAGAGCCAGATTGAAACGCTTTGAGCTGCCCGAAGGAACGCTCTGGGGAGGGGAATCCAAGCAAGATCTTCCTGAGCCGGCCTTGACGGGATTGTTCTCTCAGAAAATCTGAAAAAAACCCTTGGTAATACCAAACATGTCAAAAATATTTGTAGTTAATGTATTTTTAGAAAGATCGATAAACGAAATGTTGGGGTCTGGATTTCATATGGTGTACGATACAAATAGAGATTCTATTTGGGGGTTACTTTTAAAGAAAGGTCTACCCCACCCTGTTAGATCACCCCGTTAGATCTTGTGAAATGGGCAGCTATACACATTTGATCAATGAGTGGAATGAACAAATGAATGAAGCTATTGCAGATTCTGCTACGCTTAACCAAATCAGGTAAAGATCCAGTGTTTGCACAGCATGAGTCTGGGCTCAATGTGCCGCGGGAACTCAGAAGATGGATCAAGTGGATGAACCCCACCAAGAGCCTTCAACTGGCCCATGTTGCAGAAGATTCTGGAGAAGTGAAGGCAAGATGTCTGGGGAAAAAGTGCAAGCTAGATGCATTTTAATTTTAAAGAAGTGAGAGCCACTGTGGGGCAGTGGGGAAGGGGTTGGACCAGGAATGGGGAGACCCAGGTTCTAGTCCCCGTTTAGCCACAGAAGCTCCCTGGGGGACTTCAAGCCAGTCCCTCTCTCAGCCCAACCTACTTTGCAGGGTTCTTGTGGTGGGGGAAAAAATAGGAGGGGGGATGTACATCATCCAGATGGAAGATACGTTAGAAACATAATCAATCAATCAATCAATCAATCCATCAATCAATGCTTAGGAAAGCTACTGACTCAGCCCTGAACCCACTTCTAGAGCAACTTTCACCACCCTGGGACATTCCTCCCAGATGTCTGAGACTCTTAACTTCCAAAACTTTCAGCCAGAATGGGAATGAGTTGAGAATCCGTTGAGTCCCAGCACATCTGGAGGGAACCAAGTTGAAGAAGCCCATTCGATGCTGTTTTGCATTGCAGATGTTGGGTTACCTCAGGCAGCAGAGCTCCTGAGACACTTAAGCCTAAATGAACAGAGATGAAAAGAAAGGTTAGGAACAGGATAGAGAGCTTTTGAGCAATGGAGGTTTCTAAGGAGGTTCAACGCAACCCAGTCCCCACCGTGCCCTACAGGCAGAGGACAGGGAGAAGATGCTAGCCGTGTTTTTTACTATTGCTAGGATCAATGGCAGCTTTGTAGGCACCCCAAAGTATCCAGGTTTGCACTTCCTGATTTTGGCAAAGCGTTTGACATGGCGTGCCCTGGGAAACCAGTTTTCTATTCAAGTAACCCGGGTTAAAAAATCAATTTAGAGCAGTGTTTCTCAATCTTGGCAGCTTGAAGATGTGTGGACTTCAACTCCCAGAATTCTGGGAGTTGAAGTCCACACATCTTCAAGCTGCCAAGGTTGAGAAACCCTGGTTTAGAGAGTACTTGACCCCAGCAAACAGATAGTTTTGGTGGTTACCAGCTCTGGGCTGCAGAGTTTTAGAGGACCAGCAGAAGACAGCAAGAAGGTACAAAAAAACCCCTTTTTAAAAACTCTTTCCTGCCATCTAATGGTTATCTGCAACCCACAGCTGATATTACCCCAAACATTTTTATTACAGTAATATTTCTACACCATTCTGCTCTCAATGGCTCAGAGGAGCACATACAGGCTTGGAAACAACATAAAGATTCATAATAACCATTATAACGGTATAAGCCATAGGGGTAGATATCAAACTCCAACATCCCCCAGTTATTCTCTCCCAGGGCCACATTCTTATGGAAACTCATTACAGAGTAGCTCATTTTGATATAGGAGGGCAAGCTTTTTGTTAAGAGCAGGGCTACCGCTGAGAAGGTCCTACGAGAGTCACCACAGCTTGAACTCTTGGAGAACTGGTCATCCTACCCAAAGCAGCAGTGGATGGGGGATGTTACTGCTTGGAAGGAGAGGGGAAACATGGGTCAAAGTCCTCTTTCAGCAACCCCACATGGCTACAGGGTTTCTGCAGATGAGCTGATCAACCCTGGGCTCAGTTCTAACTCCAGAAGGACCACCACGAAGCCAGGGCAGTTCCACATGGGGAGCCCTGTCCCCTTGTCCTGTCTTTTGGGGTTTCCCTCCCATCTGTTATGGTTCCCTCCCACCACCCCACACTATACAGCAGTGTTCCTCGACCTTAGCCATTTTAAGATGTGTGGACTTCAACTCCCAGAAGTCCCCAGCCGGCATGCTGACCAGGGAATTCTGGGGGGTGAAGTCCACACATCTTAAAATGGCTAAGGTTGAGGAACATTGCTCTAGAGGGTTCAAAGGCTGACGGCGTTGTCTCCCCAACAATCACTTTCTCCCAGCACCCACAAAAAAAACCCACCACACAAAAACGAGGAAGAGGAAAAAGTCATAGTTGAAGCACCAGTGTGGTTGTCCCACTCCTGACCATTCCTTCCCCCACCATCCTCATGCGTGAAACCTCAGGGGCCATCACAAGAGATGTGCCAGAAAGGGCAGCTGAAGACCGGAGGGGTGAGGATAACGACTGCCCGGAAACTGTTGCTCCAACTTGTATGCCTGCAACTAGCAACAAGTAAGAACTTCGCCACCAGCGTCGCCACCTGCTTTCTCCCAGGAAATGCCCAACAGCCACTCCTTATGGATGGGCACATGTTTCCCCTCCCAATATTGAGCCTCAAACACCCTCAGGGCGGTAGAGATAGTAAGAACACGGTGCACATTCACGTGGGCCATTCCGTCCCAGTATCTTTCAACTCTGAGGAGAGCTGAAGTCACCTAGAACATACATAAAAGCAAAGAGGAAATGCTACCGAGTCAAACCAGGTCAAAAAAAACGACACACAACTCCTTTAGAAACCCACAAACGCGTGCCGATTCTTTTAATTTTCCGGGTGCCTCGCAGGACGTAATAAAAATCTATACACGTTTAAAACACGGAAGAACGCTCACAAAAAACACGCTGTTCGTAAGGCAAGGTAGCCAACCACCTCCACGTGCCGATCCTGCCCCGAAGACACAGGAAAGCAGCAAAAATACGATTCTACCCCTTCGGTCTAAATTACGAAGGGAAGAATGCTTTTCGATGGGCAGTTATGAAGCGTGCTGCAAAAAATAAACCAGGATCATCAACACCTTGAAGACATTTATACCTTGCCCTAAATCTTCATAAACCTAAGCCTATTTCTCCTGGAGTTGGCATAATTCCCAAAGTTCCTGGATCTAAGACAAATTCCAGCCACAATATAGGTTTAGCTTGGAAGAAATCAGCAGCCAACACCGTCTAGTGTCGTCAGCAGATCTGCTGGGAGGTGCCCGTGAAGGAGCCAAACTGGATCCAACCGAGTCTTTTGTTTTTTTTTTAATTACAAGATCTGTGTTTGCTTTTCAAATTGGCTATCTCAACTACAAAAGAAAGACACTCTGTTTGCATTCCTCCTTTCATCGTTTGGCATTATGAATTTCAGAAGGGGACTTTTTGCACTCTCACAGAAGCTCCTGGCTGGGATAAGGCATTCTACCTGATCCCCAGGCTCATCTTTAGAGATCAGCTCTCCGATCGCTTTTTAAAATTAATGCTACGCGACTGATCAGCAGCAGACACATTCTCTTCTCTTTGGAAAAAAGCTCTGGGTAATTCAGTGCATTGCACCGGTCATTTTAAAACTGTCGACTTGCGCTGACCGGTTAGCATAGCTACGAGGGTTTGATGTCTGTAAAGGCATTTAGGGACAGGTCTTTTTAAAAAAGATGCTTTCGGACAGCGGTGCAAATGGACAGAGGAAGATCGATGCTCTGTCTACGAAAGGAATGCTGATGTTTGCACCAGACGGGAATCCGGATCCACTTAATGGTCAAGGTAACGTTCTGTTGACCAAGTCTGCTTTGTTTTACAAGGACGGGTCAATCGTCTGAATCCGTGTCATGCCTCCTCTTGGCTGGGAGGGCTTGTGGGGACCCCCGTGTCCGTTTCCGAGCTCCTGAAGCTCTGCCTTTGGAAGGCGGGGACCGACTGTGGCTTCGCCGTCCACGGTCGCCACTTTTCAGCTTGGAGGGAGGCGATGAAGTCGTGTTGCGTTGACACCTGTTGGACGGTGGCTGTGTTGTTTGGGCAGGTGAAGAACGACCCTCACGCCGCCGAGAGGGGGATGGCAGGAGCTCCAGAGAGGGTCTCTGTTTCCTGGGGATACCAAGAAGGCAAAGTCAGGTGATATGATTCTCAGGATGTTATCCCTTCAAGGCAGACCAGTCTAAGAAACCAATGCCAGATAGGTCAGGACTTTTATTGTAGTAACAGAACCTCGCAAGTCTGAATGTGCTTCCCCGCTCCCTCCTCCATCTTAATGAGAACTAAGGAGGGTCTTGTCCGAGACGCTTTCGCAGGTTACAGCTCTACCCCGGACTCAAGTTTCTTTTATCGGACTGTGGTCTTGGTTACAGCTCTTCCTCCTTTCCTCAAGGCTACTCCTTCTGTCCATTACACACAGAGGCAGCTGACTCGCCTTTCATGCACCTTCCTGTTTACCTAGAAAAAGCCACCAACTATTTCATGAAACTTGGCTGATTATTCACAGCAGTCGTGAATAATCACATTCAGTGCATTCAGACTTGCAAGGTTGATGTCAGCCCTTCAAGGTAGACTCAGTTGAGAACCAAAGTCATGCAGGCTAATACTACTTTTATTATAGAGCTGTTGTAACAAGAATCTTACAAGTCTGAATGCGCTTCCTCCCTCCCTTTATCTTTGTGAAAACTAGGGAGGGTCTTGGCTGAGACACTTTCTCAGGTTACAGTTCTGTCCCGGACTCAGATTTCTTTTATCTGACTGCTGTCTTAGTTGCAGCTCTTCCTCCAGTCCCTCAAGGTTATTCCTTCTGTCCACTATATCGTAACCACAAGGAATGAGGATGCAGCCTCCTTTTCAAAGAGACAGGACGTACAAAGGTTCCCCTGGCATGGAAACAGACTATGGACCCCAATCACAGTGGAGAAGGTATTGCAACAGAACAAAAGATAAATATTTCTTTATTCATTTAACTTATTAATCAAATTTGTATAGCTGCCCATCTCATAGAAAAGTGATATCCTTCCACCACTGTCTTAAGGGCAGAGGGAAGCATGCTTTCTGAGTAAGTGAGCCCATCTCGAATTTTTAAGCTCTGCAGTGGGTGCACTCACAAAATGGCCACCAGGGAAAAGGGCCTCATTAGCTACAAATTGCCCCTTTGGTTCAAGACACCCACCGACACCAACCAAAACCTTGGCCTGCAGCCCACCCCTTTTTATCCCAACCATGGGTGGCTGGAGAATTCTGGGAGTTGGTCCAAACATCTTAAAGTGGCCATGGTTGGGATACACTGACTTAATTAGAAGAATCTAGGAAAAAAAAATAAGTTCCAGCAGGCTAGGGACATTACTTCAAGAAGGGAACACAAAGTTCAATGGGAGTTCTGCTCTGGTCCAAACAGTTAACACTGAATTTCTTGCTAAATCTGAACTTCAACTTCTACAACACGGGGAAAGACTTTGGAACCAAAAGGTTGTTCATGGTGCCCTCATGTGCTGAGTGTTTAAAATGCACCTGCTAAAGAAAACCTGCTAAGGCAAAAGCTGGGCTCCATCAGAGCATCAGTGCGCCTGCCAGCCCTATAAAGTAGGCCAGACTTCCAGGTTATGCCCAAAAACACCTTGGTGGATCTCAGCTCAAGAAGCATATCATAGAAGAGAAACAGCAAAGACAAATGGTTGATGTGCCGGGAATTATTGGAAAGCTATCTAGGGGAATTTCAGATTAAATCAAGAGAGCAACTAATAGCAGAAAGATATAGCTGTCAATAGTTTTCCCATTTACAGTTATCAGAAAGATTCAAAATGAGCAAAAAGGGTATAGAGCAAAGTAAGACAGAATTTGAAGTGCAATTGTACACCGATGATGAACATGTACCTGCTAAAATGTATAAACTTTTGTTGAAATTTGAAACAGAGGAAGAATAGGTTAAAGAATGTATGATAAAGTGGGTTAAGAATTTTGGTTCTAACATACAGATGGATCAGTGGGAAAATAGATGGTTCAAAGGGTTGAAATTTACATTATGTTATGACCTTAAAGAGAATTTTTATAAAATGATGTTTCTTTGGTACATGTTGCCACAGAAATTGTCCAGAATGTATAAAGACAGTTCAAATATATGCTGGAAATGTGAACAGCATGGAGGGAACCGAAAGCTACTATATGAGAACAGCTATAGGAACAGAATCTTGCAAGCCTGAATGTGCTTCTCTTCCTCCCTCTTTTATCTTCCTGAGAGGGGGCGGGCGGCATGGGGGGGGGGGCGGCTTTGGTCCTTTTTTTAAATC